ACGAGTCGGGTAAAGAAATTGCGTCTTTTGTACAAAGGTAACAATATTGTATTTCTGACACTTATTTTTTATAGAACAAAAAACAAAGAATAGTGCAGACATGCGTAAAAACTCACGATGATTATAGTCTTTCTTCCAATGCCTGTAGGTTTAACATTTACTATTTGTATTAAAAATATATTTTAAAAATGGCATCAAGTTATTGAATGACTAAGATACACAAAAGTAAAATTTTCGACATCAATTCACATTTAAACATTCACATCAGTCGTATTTCAACTTTTAATGCGAGTATTTACTTTGATTTTGTTTTTCTGTAAATTCTTGGATAAACGCCTTGGCTGATCTAATCGATGCCATGTAAAGTGTACTTTGATACACACGCGCTGGCCATCCATTTACGTAACAGCCTAGATAACTGCATGTTATTTGAAGACCCGCCACTTTGTTTTTCTGTAAATACTTTGATCCACGCCTTGGCCGTTCTAATCGATGCTATGTTTAGTGCATTCTCATACACACGCGCTGACCATGATTAGATAACTGCATGTATTTTGAAGACCCACCACTATCCAAGCGATTCTGTCTCTGTTACTCTCTATGATTAATGTGTAGTTTTTCTTTTTTAAGATGGCCTGTTTGACAGACCGCCCATTCTTTGTCGTTTAGCAGTTTTGTTTACATCTCTATACTTAGAAATCGTGTCATTTGCCAGACCACCAGCTTATCAATGGCAGTGTATACTGGGGCTTCATGTCCGGGTAACAAACTTAATGTGTCATCTCTCTCTCGAGAGATGACAGTAAGTTCTGCGTGATAATGGGAACTGATACACCGCGCGTACACACCGTGTCACACGGTGCGCAGACACCCTAACTTCAAAGACGCCGACATTGATCGTGGTCCACGCTAAAGCGTGGACTTTTGGTTCACGGGGCCCCGTGTTTTTCGGGGAAAACACGTGGCCTGTACTGTATAGTCCTGCTGGACACGTTATTACTGGTGACGTAAATATAGTTAATAATGAGGACGTTATGTCACTAATTTTAAAAGGTCCTAAGTATAGGGAACCCCGATCCTTTAACTTGCCTCGTAATTTCATACATATTATGGATTCTGTAGAGGATTACACCAGGAGTTGGGACAGATATGAAAAAGAAGACCTTGACACTTTGTCAGAATGAATTAAATGTATCAGATATATGTTAAAATATCGCATTAAACGATTGAGGAGCAGTATAAAAACCATCTATCCTTCTGTATTCAATAATTCAGAAGTGAAAAAAGAATTAGATAGATTACACGATCAGTACCTACTTTTCCCTGCCGACAAAGCAGGTAACAACATTATCTTTGTTTGTAAGGCTCATTATATAAATTGTATTTTAGAGGAATTAACTGGGATCTAATTCTACATGTGGTAATCCAACTTATACCCATATCACCCTTTCTAAGGAGGAAATTCTTCAAAGTCATATGTCAGTTTTGAATATTTTTAATATTCCTTACAACCAAAATGAATTTGAATTACCATATCTATATTGGATTCCGAAACTTCATAAAAATCCTTACAAACAAAGATACATAGCGGGTTCCAGTATCTACCAAGCCTCTTTCTTTACTCCTCACTAAGATATTAACAGTAGTGAAGGAGAAACTTCAAGAGTACTGTGCAACAATATATTCGAGAAGTGGTGTAAATCAGATGTGGATGCTAAAAAATTTCAATGGAACGTTTGGAACATTTGAAATCACAAAATTTTACCAAAATTAACAACATAAAAACTTACGACTTTTCAACTTTATATACAAGTATTCCCCACGATAAATTAAAGTCCAGACTTTCTGACATCGTTGACAGCTGCTTTTTCAATAAAAATGGAACTCGTAAATTTAATTACCTTGTCATTGGTCATTTGCAAAATTACTTTGTCAAAAGCAGTCTGATTACACACACAAGTACTCTGAAGTTGACACTAAAAAGATGCTCGAATTTCTGATTGACAATATCTATGTAGTTTTTGGAGACCAGGTCTTCCAACAATCTATTGAAATTTCCATGGGTACCAATTGCGCCCCGTTATTAACAAACCTATTTTTGTATTCATATGAAGCAGAATTTGTTCAAAATCTTTTACGAGAAAAGAAGAAAACACTTGTGGCCTTCAACTCGACATTTAGATATATCGACGACGTATTTTCAATTAATAATGGTTATTTCCATTCTTATGTCGGCACGATATATCCCGCTGAGCTTGAGATAAAAGGTACCACAGAGTCTGACAATTCTGTTTCATATTTGGATATTTTATTAGAAAAAGACGTTAATGGTAATCTAACAACAAAACTTTATGATAAACGTGATGACTTTAACTTTTCAATCGTCAACTTCCCTTACGTATGCAGCAATATACCCTTATCATCTGCATACGGATTTACACCTCTCAGTTGATTCGATACGCCAGAGCATTCTCTACGTATGAACAATTTCTAAAACGAGGTAAGTTATTGATAAACAAGTTGATGAAACAAGAATATCAGCTGTCTCGTTTAAAGTCATCATTTCGTAAGTTCTATGGTCGATACAATGACCTTGTCAGCAAATACAATCTATCATTGAGTCAAATGCTGACTGACGTTTTTCATACTAATTGTAAGGACATTATTTACACACTGCATTGTTAACAGATTTTTCCGTTATTTCCCGATCATGACGAGGAGCACATGGCGTGTGTGACCGGTCGGCAGGGGATACTCGCTCCTCCATGGCACCTGATCCCATCTCTGATATCTTAGAGGTCCGTGTTTGCTCTCCTCCTATTTTGTAATGATTAATGCACTTTTGAGCTCGAATACTGTTCGTTATCTCCACATATTACACTTCAATATGGATAAAGAATAAATAAAATCACTGTTAAAATTTCGCCATAAAAATGAATTTTCATCAAGGTAAAAAAAAAGTAGAATCCCAGTAATATGTCAGATGGTGACTTACATCTCAGAACCTGACTCCTTATCCCAACTGAGCAGCGAACTACAATTTTAGAAGGGTGACACAAAATCTTTTATATCGGCTCTTACGTAATATTTCAATCGTGATTTTAAAATTGAAAGTCACAAAGGATCGCTAAATTTAAAAGGAAATGTAATCGTATTTCCGGAAAACACATAGCGAAAATTTTTAGAGAAATAATAAAATTACAAAAATACATGGTCAATTTGATTAATAAGTAACAAATGAATGAGTGTTTTCTATCTTATATCCCTGTATCTTCTAAACATATTAATCTAAAAGGACACACCCATAACATCGGCTTTGAAAATATTTGGGAAGGTGGGGGTGGGGTGGGGGATGGGCTTGATGCTACACTACATTTTGGCAAAAAAGAAATGAAGGTGATATGAAGGCAATCTTTTTAAAACACCTGGGTCAGTGTAGGGAATATGTGGAAATTGGGTCTTTATGCTATTCCAGTTGGATTTGATTAACCAAGGAATCGGAGAGGGGTGTATACATAAGCTATTTGATCTGTACAAGTCCAACGGGAAGTATGTTGCATTTTAATCGTCGGCTTCACTTAAGATAAGAAAAAAAAAAGAAGAGAGAAAAACCGCTAAAAATTAACGTACCATTGTTTTTTTGTTTTTTTTTTTTTTTGTTTTTTTTTTTTTACAGTTATTCCTGTATAGAGGTCCTTCTTTGTCCATTCAGCGTGTTCAGCGAGTATACTTTGCTTAGTAGAATAACACCCAAAAGCTGTATTTTATCACTCCCTTTTCCAATAACAAATAAAGAATCATCTTCCGAATTTTATATACAGGCATACATCTTGCCAGAGTTCCTTTTTAAACTGAATATGATAAAAAGATTCATCAACAGACATCACTTTCAAAATCTGCATTCAAACTGACCAATGCATTAGAAGAGAGGCTCTGTCTGAAAACTTCCGCCCCCTGTAGAGGATGCACAAGCAGGTCAGCGTGTTAGAAATGTATATCTGATAAAAATATGACTGCGAAAAATTACGCTTCCAGGAAATGCGATCTTCAATGTAATAAAAAGTCATACGATATGCAAAATAACTGAATAAAAAACAATGTTTGACTATTTTTTTCCGAATATCTCCCCCAGAAGTGCCTTTAGGAAACAAGGTCATCAAGTGGGATGATCAGCCATGTGGTCATAATTTAAACTGTTCCTAATTCTAAGATTTAATGTAGAAACCGTCTAAGAGCTAAGCCAGAAAACGTCTAACAAAAATATGTCTAAGATTTAAGGTGGAATCCGCCTACGATATGAGGCGGAAAACGGCTAAAGCTAAGACGTTTTCCATGTCCGCCTTCTGTACGGCTAAGTCCTACTAGCACTTAAACGGAATCCGCCTCAGTCCGCCCGGACTCCAGGCGGCACACGGTTAAGAATTTTCTTACGGGTGGCAGACTTTGTGGTGCTCTTTTATTTCCAGTTCACTGGTAAATATATATTGAGTCGACATATGGATGGATAGCTTTGATGTTAGGCTACAAACAATGTCTTTTTCTAGTAATATTCCATAATGGTCTGTCAGATATTTTTGTCTTTTATTTCAAGATAACCGGGATATATATGAATGGAAATAACTTTTCTTAATTTTAAAAATGTAGTGGATATAAACAAATAAATTATGTTCCTGCATTGTGTTACAAAAGGGATGCATTTTTAAGAGAAAATTCTTCATTAATATCAAAAATGAGATATACTTTCGCATGAACCATAGAGTTTAATTGAGACGATGTTGAAAAAAAAGATAAATAAAAAATGAGCTTGTAATTAGATCCGCTTTATCTATTGCAATAAATTAGAGAAATAAAACTATTTTGCATATTTATTGCATCATAGTATTGACAAGGGTTGTAAACGATACATTTGTGTACTCGTTGAACTATTGATGCCATCAGCTCATATCTAAGCTTAAACTAAATCACAAGCACATCTATTCTAGACATCTATTAGTAACAAAATGGATGTAGATAATATTCTCCGGTCCTTAGGAAAATACGGCAGATACCAAGTATTACAGCTGGTTTATAATCTGTTCTGTATGCCACTAATGACATATTCTGTTGTTATCTATGTTTTTGTTGGTAAGTACTTATAATCTGCTTTGTTTACTGATCTCTACATATAATGTTGTTATCAATGTATTTGTGGGTGAGTACATATAATATGTTCTGTTTAATGATCTCTATATATAATGATGTTATCTATGTATTTGTGGGTGAGTACTTTAAAACTGTTCTGTTTACTGATCTCTATATATAATGTTGTTATCTATGTATTTGTTGGTGAGTACTTTAAATCTGTTCTGTTTCCCGATTGTTACATATCCTGTTGTATTCTATGTATCTATGGGTGAGAACAAATACTGTGTACCGTCGCGGTAACCTAGTGGCGGGGCTTTCGCTTTGTCATCGGGTGGACCCGGTTTGATTCTCTTTTCCTCAGCCGCGTCAAATCTAAGATGATAACATAGGGTGACTGTTCCTTTGCCAAGCGCCCGGCACTAGAAGTGAAAGTCACGGGTCTTCCGGACGGGACCTTAAAAAGCAATGTCCCTTGTCACATTAGGCGTCGGCGCGATAAAGAACCTTTACTACTCAAAGACCCTGAGTGCCGAGTGAAGTCTAAATTTGACCCTTCACCGGTATATGGTGACGCCTCTATATGAGTGAAATATTTTCGAATTGAATGCAAAACAATATACAATCAATCAACAATCATATTACAGTGTATCAAATACCGTATAGCGGAATTTTTAAACGAGATGCAAACTTTGCCTTATTTTGGCGGTTTTGGAGTAGATTGCTAAAATTTTAATCACTAAATTTGGTCATTAGTAAAATAATAGCAATAAGAAAAATAACTTAAATAACTTTGGTCAGTCTATAGTTGAACGTTTTATCTTTCATATTGGTATCTACCTCTTGCGTAACCGTAATCAAACGTATATCAAACGTTCTCAAACTCATCTAAAAGATTAATTTCCTCTTTTTTACAAAGGCATGCAATTCTGTGTCCGCCAAAACAGATTCCGCCAAAATTATTGGAGTACCCTTGAGCAAGCAAAATTTTGCACACGCTTGCGTAACCTGATATTCAGTAGCTTGTTCTCAAAAAATTGTTTCTTTTTCCAAAAATATTAAACCAAAAAAAGCCCTCCTTCTTTGTGCACAAGGATGCAAAATATTGGTTTAATTGTAAGCATGAAAAACAAGTAACACCATGTTAATTTTACTTAACATCTTAAGTTATTTTTTAAATGCTTCCAAAACGCTACATTAGATCTTGGGCGCTAAATCAAAAGAAAACTGTTTGGTCTATGTATAGTTTCAATAGATGAATATTCATAACGAGTGATACAAAATATAGCGCACTAGAATTTTTTATAGAATAGTATTTGAAACATTGGTGAAACTCAGTGCAAAAAAGTATTATTAATTCTATATAAGTACTCGAAAACACACTAATATCTCCATTTTTTTCGTATATAGTAACCTTATTATACGCAAGTGAATTAAGACTGAGTATAGACGTTTCAATGCAATTGAAATAACCAAAACACATAAGGACTACACCTATCGTACAGAAAAAGATTTAACTTGTTTTTTAATCCAAACTTGGTTTCCACGATATGTGATAGCCAGTTCTCATTGTGACGTCATATTATGACTCATCGAATATGACTTCATCGTTCTCTACCACACTAGTTTATAAGGAACATCAATAAAATAGCTTCGGAGCAAGGGCATACCTTATTTTGTTATACAGAAACAAAATATAATTAGAAGCAGGGTATTCCAAGGATTTATGATATTGCTGCACAAATGTCGACAGTGCAATTGGTGCAGAAGTTTTGAGTTGAAACAGGGTAAAATTGTTCACAGTCCGATGTAAAGTTCTTAACTTTTTTATTAAATGCATAGTGCACAGGAATTGTGTAGCAATTTTGTATGTGGATTGTAGAAAACTCCAAAGAAGTTTTGAAATATTCAAAACCTCAAAACATTTCAAACATAACTGACATGACGTTTTATACAGCAAGTCCTCACGATAAATGAAAAAGCAGGTTTTTTGACATCATAGACAACTGCTTCCTCAATTAATAACAAATGGAACTCGTAAATTGTCATATTAATGATTAGTCATATAAAAAATACTTTTAAAAAACTCTGATTGTTCATAAAAGTACTTAGAAGTTGATATTTAAAAGATTCCGGATCTCCTCATATCTATATAGTCTACGTAGAACAAGGGTCCAACAATTTGTTGGAATTTCAATGAGCACTAATTCTGCCTCATTATTAGCCGACCTGTTTTAATATTCTTATGAAGTAGTATTTATTCAAAAACTTCTACACAAGAAGAAAACTCTTTGCTGTGGCCTTCAACTCAACATTCAGATATATAGACGATGTTTTGTCAATTAACAATAGATAATATCATTCCTACGTCGAATCGATATATACCAGTGGACTCGAAATAAAAAACACTACAACATTCATATATAACTTAAATTTTGACAAACGAGATGACGTCGGTTCTTCATTGTCATTTTCCTTTCTTTATTTCATAATATTCCAACATCACTTGCATATGGTGTTTATGTCTGCCAACTAATTTGATGCGAAAGAGCATGCTATAAGTACGATCAAATTTAAAGCTAGACAAATTACTGATAAAGAACTTGATGAAACAAGGATTTCAACAACCCCATTTAAATTCAGCTTTCTTCTAGTTCTATAGTCGTTAGAATGACCTTGTTTGTTAATACAACCTATTGTTGGGTCGTATTTTGTCTAATATGTTTCATACCACTAGGTAGGTCATTGCATTTATGCTATATTTGACTACGGAGTTCTAAGTCTGCCTGATCAATACATAGGTCTCACAACGGGTGTGAACGGTCGATTGGGGATGCTTCCTCCTCCTAGGTACCTGATTCCATCTTTGGTGATTCCAGGGGATCAGTGCTTTTGCCATGTTTACTATTCGTTTTTTCTACTGCAGTTTTAATATTTTCATCTTCGCTATCTTCACCTTTTACACCCATGCGATGCAATCTAGCTCCTACTGTACTGTCAACATTTATATCCGCCTTTTTGTATTTTTTTTTTCATTTGTTGTTGTCAGTATTGATTTTTGGTATTTCACAAGCAATTGCACTGCCGAACATCTTGATTTTTTTTTAAAAAAAGTGCTTTATTTTATGTGATATCAAATTGAGTTGAAGAGGACTTTTAATTATTACAGTAAAAAACCTGATAAATAACTCTCTCTCTCTCTCTCTCTCTCTCTCTCTCTAAAACAAGTTTATATGACTTAAATTTTAAAAAATTGCCAGTTGCTATTAAAATTTGGATATGTGAACTTATTGTGCTCGAATGTTATACTTAAAATGGAAACAGACAATAAAAAAACTGAAATCATTTTGTTATATCGTTCAGTTGTTAATATCCCATTAAAATCTACATTTAGTAAAAGAAAATTAATTTATCATTATGTTGAGACAGGTGTTCTTCATCAGAATTTATAAATCACATCAAGAAAAGAATCGAAACGATAAACATTACCAATACAATGAGAAGTAAGAGAAAATATTAAATAACATTTCGAGATAACAAACTCAAAATGCGTTGATGATAGCATGCTACATAGTTAATGTCTATAAAAAGGTCCCTCTTATCTCTACATACTGAAATAGAATAATTTATGAGAAACGAATTAATATATGTATGTAGCCAAAAGTCATCGATCGGAACAGAAATCGACAAGTTTTTGTATAAAGATTAAAACAAATGCCGGTCCTCTAGGTATGCGCCATTTTTAAAGAAGTGTTCCGTAATTTCTTCTGCCGAATAATAAAATAAGCCTATTTTTATAAAATACAGAAAATTTATCATTTTGTAAATAATAACGACCTCCTCTTCATTTTACAAAAGGGGATTGTCTTCATCCTCGTGATCATCTTGTTAACAATTAGTTACTTCCATGATATCATTGACAGCTGCTTTTTCAATAAAAATGGAACTCGTAAATATACTTACCTTGTCATTGGTCATTTGCAAAATTATTTTGTTAAAAAACATTCTGATTGTACACACAAGTACTCTGAAGTTGACATTAAAAAGATGCTTGAGTTTCTGATTGACAATATCTAAGTGGTTTTTGGGGACCAGGTCTTCCAACAATCTATTGGAATACCTATGGGTACCAATTGCGCCCCGTTGTTAGCAGACCTTTTTTGTATTCATATAAAGCAGAATTTGTCCAAAATCTCGTACGTGAAAAGAAGAAAACACTTGCTGTGGCGTTCAATTCGACATTTAGATATATCGACGACGTATTGTCAATTAACAATGGCTATTTTCATTCTTATGTCGATACTATATATCCTGGTGAACTTGAGATAAAAGATACCACAGAGTCTGACACATCTGTTTCATATTTGGATATTTTACTTGAAAAAGACGTTAATGGTAATCTAACAACCAAGCTTTATGATAAACGTGATGACTTTAACTTTTCAATCGTCAACTTCCCTTACTTATGCAGCAATGTACCTTCATCACCTGCATACGGGGTATATATCTCTCAGTTAATTCGATACGCAAGAGCATGCTCTACGTATATACAATTTCTAAAACGAGGTAAATTATTGACAAATAAGTTGATGAAACAAGAATATCAGCTGTCTCGTTTAAAGTCATCATTTCGTAAGTTCTATGGTCGATACAATGACCTTGTCAGCAAATACAATTTATCATTGAGTCAAATGCTGACTGACGTTTTTCATACTAATTGTTAGGCCATTATTTACACACTGAATTGTCGACGTTATTTCCCGATCATGACAAGGAGCACACGGCGGGTGTGACCGGTCGGCAGGGGATGTTCACTCCTCCATGGCACCTGATCCCACATCTGATATTTGGAGGTCCGTATTTGCTCTGCTCCTATTTTGTATTGTATAATGGACTTTTGAGCTTGAATACTGTTCGTTATCTCCATATATTTCATTCCATTCATATGTCGGCTCGATATATTCCAGTGAGCTTGAAATAAAAGATACCACAGAGTCTGACATATCTGTTTCATGCTTGGATATTTGACCAGAAAAAAAGACTTCACTGGTAACCAAACAACAAAGCTTTATGAAAAATCTTATGACTTCAACTTTTCAATCGACAACTTCCGTACTTATGTAGCAATATACCTTTATTACCTGCTCATTGGGTTTTTGTCTCTCAGTTGATTCGATACAAAGAGCATGCTCTACGTATGAACAATTTCTAATACGAGGCAAGTTATTGACAAAGCGTTGATGAAACAAGGATATCAACACTCTGGTTTAAAGTCAATATTTAGCAAATTCTATGGTCGACACAATAACCTTGTCAGCAAATACAACCCAACATTTAGTCAAATACTGACTGACGTTTTTCATACTAATTGTTAGACCATTATTTACACACTGCATTGTCTTCGGATTTCACCGTATTCCCATCATGACAAGGAGCCCACCTGACAAGGAGCCCACTGCGGGTGTGACTGGTCAGCAGGGGATGCTCACTCCTCCATGAAACCTGATCCCACCTCTGATGTTTTTAGAGGTCCGTGTCTGTTCTGCTCCCGATTCGTATTGTTTACTTTGGTTTGCCCTTGAATACTGTTCGATATCTCGATATTTCATTTAAAATTCCTGTATCATGGGTGAGCAACTAATAGTCAAACTAAAGTGTACCCTTATAACTCTGACCGAGGCTTGAACAAAAACAAAATGAACCAGGATCGTCTTTTAATACCAAAAGAAAAAAAAGAAAAATGGAATATGGAGTTGAAGCAGGTTCTTATGAATATTAATGAGAAATAAATTACGTGTAATAAGTATCAAGAATATACTGTTCTCTATTTCTCCAATGAGTTCATTGATCAAATGTTGGCGAAATCTGGGATACAGTGGAATCATCATTGTTCGTGTGGGATGAATGTTCGTGGATTTCGTGGGTCACCCTTACCCACGAATTTACAACCCCACGAACAATTTTTGTCAACGTACTGATTAATTAAATCTACCAAATAAACGAGCTGCCCACGAAATAACATCCCCACGAACCAATAAAATTTTGCTTGCCCATGAACATTGACCCCCACGAATTTAAATGATTCCACAGTATATGGGATAAAGGAAATAATAGTGCCCGCAAGACAACACAGGAGTTCGAAAAGCTGCGAATCTTGTTATTTACCTCTCTCTTTCTACCCATTCCAGATTTACTTTTGTTATCTGGGCGAGCAATGCATTTTCGAAAAATGTGGATCAAAGAAAAAAGAATTTAAAATTGCACATCATTTTTTTTCAGATACTATACTCGTAATTAAATTGTAACTGACTTCTTTTAAATTTGGTATGAATAATAAGTCAGTTTAGCAGAATAAAGAACACATTAAGCTTTATTCGTCAACAATATGCAATACTGGTTTGATATTTTTCCAGGTCACATTCCTGAATTTAAATGCAAGATGTCACGCGAAAACCTGACAAAGAATTTCAACGAGACCCATCGGTCATATAACGTCACGGTACATTCGCGTCAATGTAACGTCATCCTTGAAACAAACAGGTCCGGTATTCTTACACAGGAATCTATTCCATGTCAAGATGGATACGAATTTTTTGGACAGGAAACCACTGCATCAGAAGTAAAAAAAAAACTTAAAGGTAAAGGGACCATATGAAAGAGTGTGAGATCACATGAAGTTTTAAGTAGCTTTAAGTGTATTAACCCCCGCCCCACCCCAAGCCAACAAGATATTGATAGCAAGTAATTGGTTATTAAAAAGGAAACATTTTTTTCACAACATATTTCAGTGGAATCTTGTGTGTGGAGCTGAAAGTCTTGGCGGTATGTCCACCACCATGACGGTCATTGGTCAGATGATAGGAGCTGCATTGTTTTCCACCCTGGCAGATAAATATGGTCGCCTGTTGATCTCCTACACAAACTTTATCGCGTTGGCTTTGTGTTACGTCATAGCTGCAGTTGTTCCTTGGTTTAGTGCCTTCGTCATCCTTAGATTATTAATTGGAGCTTTTTCTGAGGTACCTCTAAATAAACTACATTTATGCCTGTAATAGAATCAGCAAAATCTCAAACAATGGAACTTTAAGATTAGATGAAGAGCACACATATATTAAAAATTTTAAGTCTTGATTCAGAAAAAAAAAATAGCGAATGATTAGTAAGGATAAGAAATAAGACATGGACCTCACTATTTACAGCGTTCAAAGTAATTTCGATAGACGTTGAAATACGCTCTTAAAGATGAACACAATTCATCATCATATCATAATAATAATAATGATAATGGTTTATCATTATGTTAAGTTGTCAGTTTGCCATCAATGTTTTTCACCCGTAAAACATCCAAATATGAGACAGATGTGTCATCAATAAATCAGACTTTTCACTAATCAAATGTTAATGTTTGATCTTTTATGAAACATAAATATTTTTTAAAACTTTTTTCTCATAGAATTACAGGATTCTTCTCTGCTTATCTTCAACTGGAAACTGTAAAAGTTTTCTTTTTTTAAGAACTTAACAAATATTTTTCAACGAATAAAAAATGATGTCGTTAATAAATAAACATCGAGGAACGACGTTATACAACATACAATCAGTCAATAATTTCCTCATCTAAGGATACTTTTTCTATAAATTCATCGAAATCCGTTTAAATCTTTTTGATGCTTCTTTTGAACAGTAAACAGACAAATAAAATTTTGTGAAAAGTAATATTATTCTAAGTAGTTGTTGGAGGTGAATGTATTACTAGTAGAATGTTAATATTTTTATTCTTCCTACTTTCACTTTAGGGAGCTTTAATGACAATGGGAACACTAGCTTTAGAAATGTTCCCTGCCGAGTCACGTGGTTTTATTAACTATTTGGATAGCATAGCCTCTACTTTCTCCATCACATCAATATCCCTAGTAGCCTACCTTCTCCGCAACGAATCGTGGAGGTATACCATGTTGGGTGCCGGTATAATTGGAGTTCACAGTCTTGCTACACGCTGGTATATACCTTTATTGTATTTTATCAGTCTAAATTCAACGTGGATAGTTTATTGCTTCCCTTTCCGTTGGTGTAAAGATAAATAATGACCCCCATAAAATAAGGATCGCGAGTGATTTTTCGACGTCGAAAAATGACCCCCTGTCATAAGTTTACGGGGGTCATTATTCTTCTTTACACCAGTATAAAAGTTTACCACTGCTTTGCTACAAGAAGGTTTATTGCTTTATTGTCTCTGTGTCTGATTGTATTATTGGTGCTCACACATTGGTGTGTACCTAAAACATCTTACTGTTATCATTGTTTATTTATACATCTTAAATTATAGACAGATATCTAAGGAATCACTGTCTAGTTTGTTGAGTACGCCAGGGCATCAACGAAAGTTGGAAAGGTTGGATAATTTGCATAACGGGCGAAGCCCGTTGTGCATAAATTATCCCACATTTCCAACTATCGTTAATGTCCCTGGCATACCCAACAAACCAGACATTCCTTCCTTATATTTACATTTATATGTGAAATAAGACTGTAAATATAGTTTTTAAAAAATGCTGTTTATTAGATTTTAAATACACAAGGCCTCACATGTTAATTTCAATAGTCCCCGCCCACTGACGTCAGACACAAATCCAGCTGCACGAGATTGACATGCATATAAGCCCCTGACCTTTCACCTGGCGAAATTAACATTCCGGTAGAATGATCAAGAAATCAACTCGCCTAACTTTCAAAGAGTTATCACAGGGAAAACAATTTGAAATGGAAATATATCCTGATATCTTCATTAAGTAAGGTATATTTAAAATAAAAATTCAGATACAGAAACATTGGGGTTGTACCAAAATGTTGTAGAAACTATATATAACTATGTAAACATTCCACCAACAGTGACCAAATTTTGTATATCTATCATTTATCAAATGTTCCTTAAAATAGTGAATTCTTAACGTAGGTCGCAGGTCTGCTGACGTCGTTAAAACTGGGTAAGCAAGTTATATGATTTGGGCGACTTTCTAGTGCACATTTGATTATGACGTCACAATGAAAAAGAAATCTGTGATGAATTTTGTTTTATTAAATTCTTCAGTATATCATTATTTAGCTATAACTTTTCTTGGAATTGATAGTTTAGTGTTATATTATTTAAGCAACAACTTATCACTAATAATGAAGGCATTTTACGATTTGCATAGTCGATACAATACTTAGATAAAACTTTTGTTGTAATTGGTAATTTAGTGAAGAAGGCTTATTAAGATTCGAATAATCGACACTGGAAATATCAATAAAAAGTTTAATTATTTGTTATCAATCGCATCTTCTCGGGCCTTTCCTGCAAGCTTTTAAAAACAAGTTGTTCTTTTTCGGCTTGTCGGAAAGGCCCGAGAAATTGCGATTGATTTGTTTTCACTTGGTATCGCAAAACGATATTGACACAAGGTTCAACTGACCTTTTTTCCTTTGATCGTATTTGAATTATCAGTTTGTTTTATTAAGAAAGAAGCCTTTTTTCTTTTTTTAAATCGCAAATACACCTGTTATATCAAAAGATTAAATTTTATTTTTAAACAGGATATTTTTTCAAAATATATAGATATACAAGTTTATCATAAATTAAATACTGCTAAGGTATGATGAAACATTAAGACAATTTTTAGAGACACTGTCCTCCTGTTAGAGGACAACTATTTGATTCTGAGGGAGGGGAGGGGGGGTGGTGGTGGCAAATTTTACCGAGTCAGCTTGTTTATTTTCATGTCGGTGAAGGACAGATTATTTATTTCTTCTTCACTGAAAAAAGTCTGAAAAAAAAAAACTCAAAGTTGAAATCTCCCAGGACGGGGGGGGGGGGGGGACAGATTATTTATTTTCAACATTTTCGAGGACATATTATTTATTTCCAAAATCTGTAAGCCCCCACCCCCACCACCCATGAAATGATCGTCCCCTAAGCAACAGCTTGCAATGCTGTTACCTACAGATTTTATTCGCTACTTTGCTTTCCATGTCCAACAAGTAGAATTAATGTTCTTAAAAAAACTGACTGTTAATTACGTCATATAAAATTAATTTCTAAATCCTCGTCCCATTTACCCCTCTGAAAATGTGGTATGTAAAAATAAATATTTTGTTTAAATATATACTGAAAATATATTGTATTTAGCCGGGACGATATTTGGCAGAAATTCGTAGATTTGAGCGCTTTGCTGCATGGTCTAAATAAAAACATTTTATATACTTGAATTACTTGAATTAAAGGATACCGTTTTCCGCCAGCACGCTTGAAAAGAAAAAAATACACAGCCAAATGTAAGGATACGTCTTATCAACGAACAAAAGCAAAGCAAAACAAACAGAAAAGAAACGGTAAGAAGGCAACACATAAAGAAAGTAATTTGGAAGAACGAAACTAAAGGAAATGACTGTTGTTTTCCGTCCCTTGCGAGAATTTTCACTAATATAAGACGTACAAAAACCCTAATCTGAAGAGAAACATGTCTAATAATCATTCATAGATATTCAATTATTATGATACGATTCAGGGGTCACTTAAAAGCAGATAGATGTGAATTTCGTTTTATAAAAATTAGTTTAGCTTCTTTTTCTGCACTGAATACCGGATAGATGTTCACGACGTCAGGCATGTCGTCGCGATATTTTATGACGTCGTTCTTAAAAATGTTACATTTTGCGATATAAAAGCAATTACTCACATTTAAATTACGCGAAAACTAACCTAATACTAATTTTTTTTACATTGATTTATTTCAAATCAATTTTTTGTTAAAATACCAAATGGAAACCAATTTTGTCTGCACCATTTAAAAGTTATTGATATTTTTGGAAACAAAATCTTGCCTAAAAACGAGCCGGAAACTGACGTTTTTCTCATATAATGCAATAGAATAACGTCGAAAATGTAACGACAACAATGGCATGTTTGGGATTTAATTACACAAAAACGATACGGACGAATTTTATAAAATTTTCAGAGAATATAAAACGAAGGTAGAAGATTCATATAACTAATTTTCATGGTATGTTTTCGGACACTTTTAAATGGCCTGCAAACACGCGACCTACGTTAAATAAATATATTTCATAGCAATAATAATATGACGATTTACAAAAAGAACGACATGTTCTGTTGGCGCACAAACAAAATCCGTAATAATTTACATATGTAACTAATGCAATTGCATTTCTTTCTCTGATAACTTTAACAACATCAAATTCAAATTTACATCAATGAAACCAGAAATAAAATCATTGCATGTCAAATTTTCACATTTACGCGTCAGAGACAAAGGATTAAAGTTGTATTTTCAATCTTTTGTTGGAACTGAGTTTGCTGCAAAGGGTTCCCGGTGCACGGGATGCAATAATTATTGTTTTAATAGGGTTTAGAAGTAACATTAAGATTCAAGGACAGTTTCGCCTTAGCACAAAAAATAGTTAAGCTTAAGAAGTTGAGTACTGTTTATTAAATTAAGATGTTGAAGACAGTTATGGTCACGTTCGGTGTCAAATATTGTGTATTTTTCAATTAAGTCTTGAGAGGACTGAAACTGGAGCAGAAATAAGGACAGTGGTGAGTTTAATGCGTCCGTGAGTCAAGGGTAATTTTGTCGGATTCAAATATCAAGCTTAGAAGACGCGTATTGAACAAAATAGTCAGCATTTAAACGAAGATCATGACGTTAGAATCGACGTAAATTACGCTTAGTCTCGTGCGCCAACGTACACTTATATGCTTCCTTTATTTTTATAATATTTTCTAAACAATTATGTTTTTATCATGAAAATTGAAATTCATGATCATGAAATATTGCTTTATACTATAAGAAAAGAAGGTAAAGTTATCAAAGAAAAGTTAAATTGTTTAAGCTTTCATCGACTTTTCGGGACAACTCTCGTAATTTAACAAATAAGATGTAAGTTCACTCTTTTTCATTAATTTCATTGGTATAACCTTGTATATCTATACTTGTATGCATTGTGCTGGAAAGATGTATGCAAATACAGTGAAACATCGTTATCACCAACTAGATGATACCGAGAAAAAAACATATCAGAGGGTTTGAGACATCGAGAGTAAAATACTTAAGAAATACATGGTTTGGCCTTTCCAATCACTTTGACATATCCATGGTATTCAAGATATCCGTGTTCGAGATACCGAAGTTCAACTTTATCGCGTAATTGTTTCCATGAAAAAAATATTCAGTTTATTCTCTTGTAGGTTATCAATTTTTGAAATTTCAGAATATTTCTTTCTATGTATATATTTACTTTTTTTATGTCTGAAATAATTGCAAAAACATTTTCCTACAGCTTTCTAAGATATTTGTCACATCTTTCAAAATTTATCCTTTATTGAATAACATTTATTTTTCTGAAGGATACTACAAGAATCTCTTCGTTGGCTTATCGTGAATGGCAGATATGAGGAGGCAAAGCAGTGGATAAAACGAGCTTCCAGATGGAACAAGATGGATCCCTCCAGAATTCTGGCAAAGTTTGACTCTGAAGTACAGAGTAGGGAACAGACAATGCTAGTGGATGAAAACACTGAGCTTACTAAATCAGAGGTTAATGGTGAGCACACCAGAACAGTGAGGTTTCATTCATATAGGATGAAAGAGAAATTGTCTGTATTGGATATTTTCAGGCACAAACAAATGCTACGGACTTCCATGATTCTCTGGGTAGTGTGGTAATAATCAATTTACAAATTTATTGATCATCAGCAATTCATGTCACGTATTTATTTACTAATTTTATTAAGGTCTTCTGTCTTCTACGCAAAACCTTCTTGTTATTTTAAATTTTCTTTTTCACCTTTTATTCTTTTTTCTTATTGATTCTGTGCACGCTGTTATAAAAAAAAATGGATGGATTTCTATGAAATTGTCAGAACTAATGCAACATCACTTAAAACATTCGTTTTTTTTCTGTTCTGATTTCGCTACTACTGGTTTGGAGATGATTTTGCTACTACTGGTTAGGAGATTTTTCTATTTGATGAATTTTAAGGGTCTTTTTGTCCACGGATTTCACTTGAACGGTTTTAGATAGAGATATGAAGCTTTAGGTACAAAAGAAGAGCTGTTTATGCTGATGAGAGTAACATATCTAATTTTTACCAGAATGACTGCGAACCGACAATCACTTGGGTCCAAAAAGGCATATTGAAAATTCCAAAATTTTCTACAGTTTTTCTACAATATCTCTTTACATGTAAATAATTTGTTATTACATATAAAACAAAAAATGTGCAAAATTTAAAGACCTTTCATCTGATACTGAAAAAAAGGGTTGGTCTCTAAAGTAAGTCATCTTAAGGGGGCAAAAGTTTCTCTCAATATTTCGAAAACTATTTAAAATTTGTAACACATGTATACATTGTTGAAGCGGATTTTTGTTTAGAATTAGAAGGTGCAGCTGGTGAGTTTTGTAAAATCCTCAAATGGCGCTACTTTGAATTAAACTGAATGTAGTCAGAAATGGCATATTTTTCAGGTATCGGCATATTATTGGATGCTCAAAGTTATTGGAAACTTCTGACCTCATTTTTTGTTCGATGTTTTTTTTCGGAAAAAAAAACGGAAGTAGTCATACATGGCTTATTTTTTAAGGAATCGGCATAGAATTGAATGATTAACGTTATTGTAAATATTGTAGATATGTGTCTTCATTTTTTGTCGATGGATATCACTTTCAGTCAAACCAGAAGAAGTCACAACTGCTTTTTTAACATATATAAATTATTTAGACAAGCGATTGAATAAATAGGCTCCCTAAAGACGCCTGACCTCATATTAAGTTGCATGTTTTCCAGATTTTTAAAAAAAATTTATCATACACACGTGAACTTATTTGCTATTTTGTCCTTTGTATTCTTGTCCAAATTGGACGGATGACCTGCTCCGGAGCTTTTCTCTTATTAAGGTATTCCGTCTACAACGGAAGACCATCTTGTTATTATTAGGATTATAAGGTTTATTTTTTTATCTTCCAATTACAAGATGTTTGTCTGATATCACCATAAGAGGACTGGCCCCTAAAATCAGGGATCTTGAGCGGCCCAAATTTTGTTTTCTCAATATTTCAAACTGTTGAGAATTCGTTGTACATTATTGAAGCAAATTTGTCTAGAAAAAATAGCACCTGGTTCGAACATCAAAAGTCGCCTAAGGAGGTCACGTCTGGTTAAATTGGAAGTAGCCAGAAAATGCATATTTATGCAGTTATCGATTTAACTCACTGTAAGCGTCCGATCTCATTTTGCGTAGATCGACGGCACGCCTGGTAAAACTGGAAGCAGTCAGAAAATATTTATTTTTGCAGGTATCGGCAAAGAATTGAATGATTAAAGTCACTAAAGATGTCCGACCTTATTTTTCATCGATCAGCGCCACTTCCGGTGAAAACCGGAAGCAGTTGCAAGTGGCCTCTTTTTACAACTACATGTATCTTCACGCATTTATATGATTAAAGTTTCTGATGACGTCTCACATCATAATTAGTCGGATGCTTTAAGAACAGCTTTTTTACATACTTACATTTTTGGATCTTTGTCCTTCATTTTCTTCACCTAATTGGATGGAAGACTTGTTTCTTCCTCCAGCAACCAGCTTTGCTCGAGTTATTATTATTTTTGTTAAGGTTTTCGTCGGTAAACTTTCTTGTAATTCTTTCTTTTTTACTTTTATTATATTTGCTTTTTTTCTACAACAATTATTTCTATCTTGTTTATGCGATTTCTTAAAACAACTGGATGAATTTCCTGTAAAACGGGAAGTAGTGTGAAATGGCATATTTCAAGGTGTCGACAGGTAATTGGATGATTAAAGTCACTGATGACGTCCGACCTCATTTTTCCTCGATCAGTGTCACTTCTAGTCAAACCTAAAGTAGTCGAAAAAAGCTTATTTTTGCAGGTACCGGCATGGAATTGAATGATTAAGGTCTCTGAAGATGTCGTACCTCATTTTCCGTTCATCGACAGCACTTCCGGTCAAACTGGAAGGGACAAACGTGGCTGATTTTCACAAATATCTACATGCAAATGAATAATAAAGGTCCTGAAAGATTTTTAGTCAAATGCTATTCCAATGAGAGTCCTTCGTTTTCATCGTCAAATCGAACGGAAGACCTGATTGCTACCTAAAAATGAACTTTGCCCTATTTATTTTCATTTTTAAGACCTCTCGTCTCCAACGGAAGATCTTGTTATTCTTCGGTTTCTTTTTCCCTATTTTTTTTTTCTCTTAGATTTTGTGTTTTGATCGATTTTCACGAAACTTTCAGCTAGACTTGGTAGAAATTGATCCAATCCTTATTTGAATTCTTGATGACGTAACTTCCATTCTTCCATTCTCCAGATATTAGCGATCTATTAATAATATGATAATAATAATGATACTTTATTTAAAGAAGGACACTCGATTAGTGCAAGCACTAGTCTTACTCGGGGCCTTCTTTATAACACATATACAATGTATATATACAATAAACACAAATCACAATATCAGACAATAAAATATAAACATTATAGTACAACAAAATAAATAAAACATCAGAATTTCATTAAAAGGGGGGGGGGGGGTAACATATTTTCACTTAGGACCAGTACGTTTCATTAATAAAAAAAAATTCAACACTACATTTAAATATTGTAAGGGATTGGGATTTCCTGATACTAATAGGCAACTCATTCCAGATAATAACCCCTGAATATTGTAAAGAATTTAAAAAAATTATACTTTGGTAAAGGAAGTTCTGAATTTGTATCTGAGCGTAAAGTGTATAATTCAGAACTTTGAATTTCAAAAAATTTATTAATTTTCGGAAGGTCTGTTTGTCCAAAAATATTTTGCTTAGGGTATAAAGTTAAAATTTTCAAGGATTGTAAAAAAAAAAAAAAAAAAAAAAAAACAAAAACAAAAAAAAAAACATTGAAGGTGATATCTTTGTCCAATTCTGTCTAGCCCAAAAGGTGCCGGTGCTCGGTATGGCTCTAAAAGTGACCCACAAACATCTCGGAGAAGTTGACATTATCTCTATTGACGCATTAAACAGAAAGAATCCAGATATTCGTTGCGGTATAATTACATTGAATGTATTTTTTAATAGGTTTGTAAACAGTATGACGTATTATGGACTGTTTCTTCTATCTGGTACCATGAGTGGAAATATGTACTTGAATTTCTTCTTAAACGGCATTGTAGAAATACCGGGTATATTTCTCTTTTGGTTTTTCATCAACAGGTATCTTGTTTTATGACCAACCATGTATATTTGAGATATTAATATAAAAGTTTTCCAGAGCAGTTGCATTTCATCAAAAGAAATCAATTCTGTCCTTAGATATGGTAGAAGGAAAACTTGTGTCATGTTTCATGCTATAGCTGGTGTAAGCCTCATTTTGGCCGCAGTTCTCAACTTTGTTGGAGGTAAAAATTTCTTAACTTCACTGAAGGTAAAATTTTTAACTTCACTGAATGTAGAATTTCTTTACTTAATTGAATGTAAACTTTCTTCCTTTTTCTGAAAGTAAAATTTCTTAACTCTACTGAAGGTAAAATTTCGTAACTACTGGACATAAAATTTATTGACTTCACTGAAAGTAAAATCTCTTAACTTTACTGAAGGTAAAATTTCTTAACTAAAGGATATAAAATTTATTGACTTCACTGAATGTAAAATTTCTTAACTTCACTGGAGGTAACATTTCCTAACTGTACTGGAAATAAAATTTTCTTAATTTATTTGAGTTAAAAATCTGTTAAAGTTATTGAAGGTACTTAATAAAGTATACACTGAAGGGATAATTCCTTAACATTATTGGAGGTTAAATTTCTTGATTTTTCAGAAGCAAAAAAAAAAAAATAGATTATAAATAAGGTATATTCACATGAAAGAAAATTCTAATTAAATCAGTTATATTAATAATTAACAACCACAATGATAAAAGGATGCACAGCTGCAATACTCTCTCTCTCTCAAATTTGTGTTTCTTTTATTATAAGATACACCAGTACTAAAAGGGTTGGCCTCCGCCATGATTTTTATCGGAAAGTCTATGATAACAGGCTCCTATACGACAATATTTATATACACTCCAGAGATGTACCCTACCAATCTAAGGTATGATATCTTTATATACACGCCAGAGCTTTATCCTACCAATCTAAGGTATGGTATCTTAATATACAATCCAGAGAATTATCCCACCAATCTAAGGTATGGTATCTTTATATACAATCCAGAGATTTATCCCAATAATCTAAGGTATTGTATCTTAATATACGCTCCAGAGATTTATTCTACCAATCTAAGGTACGGTATCTTTATATACACGCCAGAGATTTATCCTACCAATCTAAGGTATGGTATCTTAATATACACTCCAGATATTTATACTAATCTAAGGTTTGGAATCTGTTAGTTTTACCAACAAATTATCGGCATTTCTAAAAATGTGTGAGTTTTATTGTTATAATTACAAGAATAATTAGGAAATAACACTTTCTTTGAAAGATTGTCACTATCAGGTAACAACGCAGGCTCTTTGTTTGTAAGGCTGATTTTTACAATTGCCTTTTCGAGGAACTTAGATTTCATTCCGTCAGGGGTAATCCAACTTATGTCCATACTTCCCTTCCTAAGGATGAAATTCCTCAAACCATATGTCAGTTTTAAATATTTGTAATATTCCCAACAACCAAAATTAAATTCAGATCGAATTACCAAACTTATACTGGATTCCAAAATTTAATAAAAATCCTTACATACAAAGATGCAAGGGGTTGAAGCAAATGTTCCATCAAACCTTTTTCTTTGCTCATCAAAAATATTAATAGCTAGTTTTGAATGAGTAACTTTAGAGTAACTGTACAGCAACGATTTCGAGATTCTATGTTAATTAAATGTAGATATTTAAAAACTTTAAGGAATTTTAGTAGATTGGAGATCATAACATTTTACCAAACTCAAAAGCATAAATACCTGTATGTGACTTTTCAACACTTTCTACAACGATTCTTTATGATGAATAAAAGACAGGGCTTTTCACATGATAGACAATTGTTTCGTCAATAAAAATGAAAAAAAAACCCGTAAAAGTGCATATCTTGCCATTGGTTACCTGCAAACTTCTCTCTTTAAAACAGTCTCATTTTACAACGCAAGTAATTCGAAGTAGTTATTAGTTATTATTTTCAATATCAGTTTCGCAGTAATTGAGTATATCTCACTGAACTCCAAATGAAAGACACTACAGAGTCTGACACATTTGTTTCATATTTGGTTTTACATATTAAAAATGTCATTTATGGCAAACTAAAAAATAAACCTTATCAGTTTGTTGATGACTTCAACTTTTCTAGACGTCTCTATATGAGTGAAAAATTTTGGAATTGAACAAAAAACAACAATCAATCAATCAATCATTCACTTTTCTTTAGTCAACTCCCTATCACCTGCAAATGGGGTTTTTGTCTCCCATTTGATTCGGCACGCGAGATCATGTTCTATGAACTATCATTTCTGAGAAGAACCATACTTTGATAAATAAGTTCATTATACAAGATATATAGATATCAAAAATTCCCCTTAACGTCAAGTTTGCAAATTTTATGGTCTGTACACAAAATGTTTAGCAAACACAATCTATAATAAAGTACAATGTTGACTGATATTTTTCATAAAAATTGTTGGTTATTATTTACACTCTAAACTGTCTACCAAGTTTTTTTTTCGTTTGTCATGAAAATTTAAGGAGCACACGGCGGGTGTAGCCGATCCACAGGATATGTTACTGTCTCATGGCACCTGGTCCTACCTTGTCAGAGGTGTGTTGGCTGTGATCACAATTGTATCACTGAACTGGACTTTGAGGTTGTTTTCTGTTCGTTATCTTCATATTTGATTTAATCGTTCAAAGTAGCTCAGGCGGTAGAGCGCTCTCTCCGTGATCGGGAGGTCGCGAGTTCGAATCTTGGCCGCAAATGACCTGAGTCGATAAAAAATGTTTAGCAACTGTTCCTTCGCCATGCGCTCGGTACTTTGAAGTGAAAGTTGCGGGTCCTTCGGATGAGATCTTAAAAACCGAGGCCCCGTGTCACGGCAGGCGTTGGCACGATAAAGATCCCTCACTGCTCAATGGCCCTGAGTGCCGAGTAAAGGTCAAAATTTGAAGCCCTTCACCGGTGTATGGTGACGTCTCTATATGAGTGGAAAAATTCTCCAATGGGACGTTAAACAACATACAATCAATCAATCAATCAATCATATTTCATTTTCTACGTGTACCGGTAGAGTGAATTTTGCACGACAAAATAATGTTCTGAATTCTTATGTTATTCTTATCATTTCTCATGCTGTTGTGTGTCGAAAATACAAAATAATAGTAATAAAATACAAAATAATAGTAATAAAATACAAAATAATAGTAATAAAATACAAAATAATAGTAATAAAATACAAAATAATAGTAATAAAATACAAAATAATAGTAATAAAATACAAAATAATAGTAATAATATACAAAATAATAGTAATAATATATTAAAGGAGGAAAAGTAGAATAAAGAAAGAGATTTAGAGAATCGGATATTTCCTGGTATTCATTTCAGATATTTAATTTTATTACATTTTCAATAGTGAAATACTGTAATTTATTTACTGAATAAAAGTGATATTATAAAAAAAAAAGTGTGAAAGGATATCATAATGGTATTCTTACAGTTGAGAATATCAGAATTGCGGCAAAACTTACGATTTTACTTACCTTCACGAAGAGTGTTTTTTTTAAAAAATACCTTCCCTGTTACAAGATAGAGTTAATAAGCCATCCTGACAGAGACTAATAGTTATACTGCCAAAAATTTTCCAAATATGTCGTTAAAAATCCATGTTTACAACGTTTTTCAATCTCGCAATCGTTTAGCTATGATGTCTCAACCGCTCAACTATGACGTCACAGCCTATGACACTGCGTTTTGAAAAGACAGAGGCAAAGGGAAAAATCTAAGAAAATGTAATAAACAGAAAATTCAATGTTTTGTAGATGAATATGGAATTTATTTCACGAGTGGAACGGGATTTCTTTATATTTTCACGTATATGTACTACCTTAGCGATATCTTCTTTTTTTAAATTTGAAAAAAAAAATGTATCGAAGAGATCTGAATTCGAAGCATATTTTGAATAAATAGAATATACATCCTAATATTTCAACGCTTATATGAACAGTGTGTTGTTGATAATGTGATCGAGCAGTCTTTCTGATATTCATAAAACAAAACAAAAGCAAGTAATAATATTACTAACACGTAAAACAAATCGATAGATTCCATATTTGTACCATAATAATAATTGAATCATTTAAAGAATTTAAAATGCGTTGGATTAAAAGTGTTTTCTTTACATTGTTTAGGCATTTTGCAAGTACATGTATATATTGTAGAATACATTTTCCTAAGCATTATTTGAATTAAGGTTTTATGAGGAAGTTGATATGTGCCTCCCAATAGTTTGACTCTCTCTCTCTCTCTTTCTCCCTCTCTCATATGTGTATATGTGTGCATACCTTTACAAGCGCACGCAAGTTTGTTCTTTCTCTGCCTGTGTGTGTTAATTGTTTCATCTTTTTAGGGCACTCAGTATTGGAATGGGGTCAGCTGCAGGGAGAATAGGAGGAATGGTATCGTCATTTGCAGCTTTGTTTGTAAGTATTTGTAGTGAGGTATACAGCTTTGTTTGTAACTGTTGGTGATTAGGTATACAGCTTTGTTTGTAACTGTTGGTGATTAGGTATACAGCTTTGTTTGTAAGTGTTAGTGATTAGGTATACAGCTTTGTTTGTAAGTGTTGGTGATTAGGTATACAGCTTTGTTTGTAATTGTTAGTGATTAGGTATACAGCTTTGTTTGTAAGTGTTAGTGATTAGGTATTAAATCTTTGTATTGAGTGATTGTTATCAGGTAAACATCTTTGTTTCACGGTGTTTGTACGTAGCGTACAGCTTTATTTGTAAGTGTTAGTAATTCTGTATGCAACTTTGTAAGTGTAAGTAATTAGGTATACAGCTCTGTTTTTAAGTGATAGCAATAAGGTTTACTGCTTTATTTGTAAGTATTTGTAATAAGGTATGCAGCTTTGTATGGAAGTGTCACTAATTAAGTATACAACTTCATTTGTCAGTGTTAGAAATTAAGTACATAACTTTATTGGTAAGTATAAGTGAATTGGTATACAGCTTTGTTACTAGGTATTATATTGTACACATATGTGTTTGTTATTACATCTTTCTTTAAGTAAATGTATTTTTAATTAGATATAAAGCATTGTCTGTAAGAGTTTGTAGTTACGTTTGCAGCTTTAATTTACATAGGGATAATGTATTGCACAATTTAATAAATCTATTCAATCTTTTTGTCTTTTTCCAATAGGGTACCTATGTACCATGGGGACCTGGTGTCGTGTTCGGTTCTTTGTCACTCCTGGTAACGATTTTGTTCCAATGGTTACCAGAAACAACTGGGAAACAGCTTCCAAATACTCTCCAGGAAGCCATGAGTTTCTCTGCCCTGAAAGACAATAAGAAAAAAGACGGCAGTGATTGCTGTCGAGGAAAATATCTAGAATACAATGAACGATATATTTGAAATTAAACCTCCCCCACCCACAATAATTAAAATAAAGTCATGATTAAGACAAATTTTCATTATTCATTATTCTTAATTCAAGTTTAACAAATGCTTGCCATCAAATTACTAAAATAAAGAGGAAGGATGATACTGCTTTGTTTGACATTATTTAGAGAATTTCCCGAAGAAAAATGTACTATATTTAAAAAGAGCCTACTATGGTTAACTAAAGTTAATTATATAATATACTTTGATAAATCTATTTTCCTTAAAGCTTTACTTTATACCTTTTTTGATATTTTGAATTTAATTCCAATGAATGTGAAATATTGAAAAAGAATCCAAAAAGTGGGTATGTATGAATTGAAAAATATGAAACATAACAATCTGAGATCCAAAGGAAAACTGATAATCTATCGTAAAAAAGTTGATTTTTATAGTAAAATCTTTGATACAGTATGTAGTAAACTATAATTAAAAAAGCATTTGTCTAGGGTGTTTATCATTTTTGAAATCAAAGAAAAAATGGCATATTGTAGAATAAAGTAAAGCAAGGAAAAACATATTTTATATAGAAAATATGAATAAATAAACAAAAAGGCAAATACTTACACTTACACAAAACGGTCGGGATACCAATTACTAAGTAGTGTAAAACGGAAATAAATATTCAACACGATCAAAAGGTACTGGTCCCAGCTGACAACGCAGGTAACATCATTTTCCTTGTTTGTAAGGCTCATTATTTTAATTGAATTTTAAAGGAACTTGGAGTATTTCTGCAAGATTAATTGGTAATCCAACTTTTTATCATAATTCCCTTTCTATAGAATAAATTCTCCAAAATATATCTAAGTATTAAATTTCTAATATTCCCAACAAGCAAATTGAACACGGATTATCATACTAATACTGGATTTCCTAAACTTCATAAAATCCTACCAAATATACATTATAAGTTAAAAAAAATGTTATGCCATTACGTAAGACTCTTCAACACTTATACACTTACTCCCCAAGATAACTTAAAGTCCACGATTTTTGACATCAGACACATAAAATTGGGTCAATTGCGAAATATTTTGTTTTAAAAAAAATCTGATTTTACCTAATATCGTTTTTATATGAATCAGGAATTATTCAAAATATTCTACACAAAAAAATATCTTACTGTTGACTTCAATTCAACGTTTTATAAAACAACAATATTCATTTTCATTCCTTCTTTGTTTAGATACATGAATATCACTTTAAACTCTAAATAAAAGATACCACAGAGTCTGACACATTTGTTTCATATTTTGATATCTTATTAGAAAAAGACGTTAATTGTAACCCAATAAAACATTTAATGATAAACGTAATTACTTAACCTTTTCTCTCGTCAACTTCATTATTTATGTAGTAATAAACCATTATCGTAGCATCTGCACATAAAGTTTATGTCTCCCACTTCATTTCGTACACAAGAGAATGTTCTACGTGCGAACAATTTCAAAAACGGGACAAGCTATTGACAAATAAGTTGATGAAAGAAGAATATTAGAAGTCTTCATTTAACGTGTGATATTTTCAGGGACCCGTGTTTTCTCTACGCTAAATTTGTATTGGTTCCATGGACCTTTGAGCTTGATGGCTGTTCGTTATCTTCATCATTCGTTTAATGGTTAGATCCCTTTAATCTTGTGTTTACTGTATGCAACCAGAGAAGAGGTTGTGAATAATTATTTACATACTTCATGTATGAAATTCGATTGTTTCTTTTAGTAATTTCTACAAACTCTTAATGCATTGGTTACTCTTGTGACCAAAACGTTGGGAAAATCCATTGTAATTGCAAAACTATTTTCTTAATTAATATGTTCAATTTCTGATTTATGATCCTCTTTTTACCAGATAAATTATAAAAATCTTATAAAAATAACCTGTAGGACAGTTTTATCACTAGTATCTCTTACATTTCTAGTACATTCTCCTTTAATATAGCCTTGAAAACTGAGCACCTTACCTGTGCCAGTACTGTAAGATGTTAGTATGTTTGATATATGAGCAAGATGTTAGTATGTTTGATATATGAGCGAAGGTCTTATAGCTATCTGAAAAGCTTGTCTCTTTTGCAAATAGTAGTTTTCAAGAAATTGACGCTTGTGTGAAAACAGTCGCCTCTAAATTTGCCGTGATAAATAAGCGTTTTATTGAGTCATTTAAATTCAAGAAAATATATTTGCAAGTCGGGAAGAGAGATAAGATTAGAACTGCAAGATCGAATTATTTTTTTTAGATTAGAACTGCCTGTTAGATAATGCTCATTGAGAATTTGTGGTAATTCATCCAATTGGTGCACATGCTGGTCTTATGTAATAAAGATGACATTAATTGGTACTTTCAGACATTAGTTCTTTGTGTAAATCCAGATGTATCTTCTATGCAAGAAATTTTGTTGTTATTATATGGAATACAATCTTTCCAAATAAACAAAAATAATGTTTCAAACTCTGCGGCATAGTGTTGAACTTCTGGATCTTTGTTGTTAAGAAGGACAGAGGTAAAGCTGATTGGATTTTCAAAACTTGTCTGTCTTCATTATAAGAAAAAATTATGACAATACCTCAGCGTAACTGACTTTTAATCTTTAATTACTTATATATCAGACATGATACTCACGGCATGTACTTCGCTGTTTATCCCATCTAAAAAAAATGTCAAGATTTAGTTTAGATTAGTTAGATATTTAGTTGTATGTCGTATTTTGCATGTTTCCATCGGTTCTGAGTACCTGAAATTAATTTTTAAACCGAGATTATCAGAAATCGGAATGTCTAGACTTCACGTCATTAAGCTTACTATGACGTCATATTGTATAAGCACATGTATCAGAGTTTAGCCTATACTATTCTTTCGCAGTTTCTACCTGTCTGGGATTGAATCTTTTACCTTTTAACTGTTACGGTAGTTCGATGGGTAAAGACTTCGCTTCATAATCAGATGGTCGTGCCCTAACAAGCCTCGGCTGCGACAGACCTTAGTCGATTAAAATATAGGTAGCAACTGTTCTTTCGCCAGGCGCTTGGCACTGTGTAGTGAAAGTTACATATCTCTCTTTAACTTTAAAACTAAGACCCTGTGTCATAGGTAGTCGTCGGTTTGATAAATATATTTCATTGCTCGATTGCCCTGGATGCAATTTAAATTCTAAGGTTTAGCCCCTTATCGGTATATGGTGACGTCTCTTCATGAGGAAACAATTCTCACATGGGACATAAAACACAATCAATCAATCAATACTATGGAGTGACTGCTCTTCCTTGTGGATCGAAGTAAAGAAATATACATAGAGGTTGATATAATTATTTAAAGATCAAATTTGGTTCCTGTACAATGTGAATAAGAACATAAACGATAATATGAATTATTCTCCTGTACTTTGACCAAAACAAAAAAAAAAATAAAATAAATAAAATAAAGGAAGAGAACAAAAATCTTCATCAATAATGAGATAAATTTCGAAATAAACCAGAAAGATTCATAAAGACGATCATAAAATAATTGTAAAAACATTAGCATGTAATAAGATACGTTTTATCTCTTGCAATAAACTACAGAAATAAAACAAATTTGCATATTTGTTGCACCATATGTTGTGACAAGGACTGATAATGATACATTTCTGCTCTCGTTGAACTAGTCGCTGTACAGTTATGGCAACATTCTGTATACAACGGCACTTGAAGTTCAGCTGTCTCATTTTTAAGAAACTCTACTTAGAATATCTTAGTAGTTTCTAGGAGAGTTTGTCCATCGTTGTTTACAATGGTATTTTTTGTCATCATGTAACCCTTTATACTCAGGCTGGCTCTGATTTCAGCTCAAAATAAGAAATGTCAAATGTAACCAAAAAATACAAGCGCAAGGCAAACAAAAACTAAACTGCTTAATGTTTCAATGTGTCTCTTTCCTCAGAAATGAGGATAATACAGTCTGATTTCTGATACAATATATATTCAGTGGGGAAAAAAGTATACAGAAAAGGGTGTTTTCATAATTTCATTGGAAATTATATATAACCTAATGAATTGCAAAGAAATGAGCATCAACTTTAAAAAAAGTAGGTAATTTTAAAAAAAACCCTATGTCTTGGAATGTCGCTTTGCCCTCTGGCACATTCATTCTTAATATAGCATTAAAATGTATCATTGACCAAGCATGGAAGATGACTCTCTAATACTTATGTAATAAAGATTGTTTACGTAGTAACTCGCAAATATTAAACAAATAGTTACTACGGAATGCGCTAGGCTTTACTTCATCGAATCAAAACTCAATGCATCATTTATCAAAAATCATTAGCTTAACTTTCTTTCTTTGTCCTCGTTCTTTATATACGTTACAAAAGACGTCTTTGATACCTTCCGTTTTTTCCTCTCAAATATAACTATTAAGTTTGAGTCACCCGCATAACGAAGTGGTTAGAGTTAAATTCTTTCACCCATACAAAATTGGGAAAAAATTAAATTGGGAAAGTATAAAATTAATTTGAATTGCTTTCGTAGAAATCATACTCTGTGTATAAATTGATGCATATGTTTTATAAATTATATTCTGGGTGACGCACATGCCGGTTTTAACTAGTTCCATTTATTCTTTAAGCCTGCAACTATAGACAGCTTCAATGATAAAAAATATATACTTAAAAACACTTTATTTATATAGAGGAAAATAATACAAACATGATTTTAAACACGTTTATTATGATATTGGCGATTGTTGGTCGTGCCTTTTTAAAAGCAAGAGGTCGGCAAGTGTAAAGGGCGACCCCAAATTGCAACAAGCAGCAGCAACAGCAGCAAACAACCTGAAAGCATATACATATACTATTAATAAGCATAAATATGGCCGTTCCGGGTATACCGCGAACGATAATTAACCTTACAATTATATTTTATGTATTTCACATAAACATCACATGTATGTAGAGTTATCATTACGGGTTAACCGCGAACGTTACTCAACATTTTTTTGCAAGCAAAGCAATGCATGAATTTATTAATAGCAGTGCACATTTTGCACAGTGAATGAGTTTGTTTTAAACAAGCAAAGCAGACCAGTTCATGAATTTGTTGAAAGCAGCACACATTTTCAAAGTAAATAAGTTTGTTTTAAGCAGGAGCAGCACCATGAATTATAGCATCAGTTGAATGGCTCGGCGCAAACTTAAGCATGAGATGGCACACCGGAAAAAACAAAACACCCATTTCGATGGAATGTCATGCTGGAATTCTTCACGCGAGCTGAACGCAATTAAAAGTCACAGCATACAGAGTCAGGCCAATGGAATGCAGAAATCTTCAAGTGAAGTGAATCCTCTAGTCAAAACCTGAAATGATAGAGAAAACCCAACAGCAGACAAAACTTCCTAAATTTTTGTTTACTTCATGATGCAAAAATCTATCTTTATTTTTTACCTTTGGGAATGGGATGGGTTGGGATTTAAGAAAAACTGTGGTTGAAAGTATATTTTTTTCAAAATTCTGTCTGCTACAAAACTCGTGTACCTTTCGTTTTTGGATCCAGAGCAAAGAGGAGGAATTTTGAGATATTCCAATTATTCCGATATTCCAATTTTTTTTTTAGCTAGCCCAACTCAAATAGCAGAAATGTAAGTTTTCCTCATAAAATAAGCGCATCTATTTTTTAAACTAGTAGACTAATTGTTCACAGAACAATTAGAGGTCTTTCCACCTTCTTTGAATTTAAAAAAGATTGCATATTTTAATTCTATGATAACCCCCCCCCCCCCAGAAATTGCATGAAAAATGGAAGAAAATGAAAAAATAAAAAAATTGACATGACCTTGACCTTTAGCCTTTAACAAATATTCAAGGTCAAAGGTCAAGGGTCACATTGTAATTGACCCCATACTTTTACATCTTTTAGTTTTCAAGTTATAAGGTTTAATAGTAAGCGCAAAGACTTTAAAGGGCAATAACTCATATAAGAGGTCATCAGATCCCTTCGCACTGAATAGAATAAAGTTGTGTCTAACGACCTTGAAGACATTAGTGAAGGTTTCGTGTCTCTGAAGTTTACGGTTTCAGAGGAGTTTTTTGCACAAGAGGCAATAACTTTAAAAGAGGTTAAAGTGACACTGTGACGGACAAAAGGGAAAAATTGACAACAGTAGAATTTTTGCATGGCACATGCAAATTTTGTTCAGTTCTTGAAGATATTAGGTTTCAGAAAATTACAGGTTTCAGAACCTAAAAAAATCTAATTTAATGGAGAAAAATAAAAGTAAAAAAAATCTTTGTATAACCCATTACAAAAATATTGCTTTACTTCTTCCTCTTTATTGTACACATGCGCTGAAAAGTTGAAGAATTTACCATGGTTTCAATTCCATAGATATAAATGTCGGATGACTGAGAATTTTGATACAATCTTCAAAAAAGATGATCATAACTTATTCCTTACTTCTGCTTGCCCCAATTCAATGTTGTTTACAAGTTTCACGCTAAAAATAAAGGACGCGTGGCCTTGACATTGTTGACATTGACGATAAAAAGAAAGCGATACATAAATCATTTGTTTTTGCGGCACTTATATTTTGCAGTTTTTAAAAGAAACACAAGGTTTTGACTCATTATGCAACTTTAAGCTTAGGGGACAAGAATGAAATCTTTGAAATAGTTTTAGAAGGACATATTAAAGATGCAAAGACATATAGCAGATGTTGAAAGACAAGAGAGCTATAAATTTCTCATAGTTTGAATGACATTGGCCTTTGACCTTCAGTTTGACCTGAATTTCAAGGTCAAAATTCAAAGAATTTAATGCAGTTGATTTCATGTGTCTACGACATATGGTTTTGAAAATTTATAATTTTTCATAAACATCAAAAACCTTCAGGGGGAATAACTCATTGAAATGGTCAACGAATCCTTTCGCAATGAATAGATTGAAGAGTCCCCTCAATTACTCGAAGACATTGGTGAAAGTTTCGTACCTCTACGGTTTACGGTTTCGTGAGAGGTCAAAAATCAAACATGGGGGGGGGGTCGTTTTTCGGAATAACTTTTAATATCCAGAATCATGAACTATAAAGTTTTTCGATAAGCCTTGCGGTTTCAAAAGTCCGGGAAGAAAAATAATAATAATATTAAACATAAGCATTTCACAGAAAGGTTGAAAGACCTAATTAATAGATGCTATTATTTATATAGAGGAAAATAAAACGAACATGATATCAAACACGTTTATTATGATATTGGCGATTGTTGGTCGTGGGAAGTTTTAAAGCAGCAAGGGGTCGCCAAGCGTAAAGGACGACCCCAAATTACAACAAGCAGCAGGGGATTATCAGGGAAAACTGGCAACTGAAAAAGAAATAAATCTTTGAATAATCTGTAGCAAGTGAAATAGTTTTCCAAGACTATTTTTATCTATTTGTAATTTCCCAACTGATCTATTTTTAGACCAATGTGAGAAAGTTAATCCCTTTTTAAAATAGATTATAAATAGTTTATGATAAAAAAGAACTACTAAAGTCTAGAAAATTTTAGCGTTCAATATCTTGATGTTTTATTGGGCGCCGAGTTTGTATAACATATATGATTATGCCCGAAACATTTCGAATACGAGCGTACAATATCAAACGCCCCCTTGTAAACAAAAATGTCGTCTGGTCAACCTCTCAAAAGATGTGTTTATTTCCACGCAAATTTTAAATTATTAATTAATAATTTCGCACGTATCAACCTTAATAAAACCTGGATTAGCACATCATAAAGGTTGGTTATATAACATCATGACGCTTGGTAGGGTAATTGAATGAAATATATGGAGATAACGAACAGTATTCAAGCTCAAAAGTCCATTAATCAATACAAAATAGGAGCAGAGCAAACACGGACCTCCAAACATCAGAGGTGGGATCAGGTGCCATGGAGGAGTGAGCATCCCCTGCCGACCGGTCACACCCGCCGTGTGCTCCTTGTCATGATCGGGAAATAACGGAAAAATCCGTCGACAATTCAGTGTGTAAATAATGGCCTAACAATAGTGTGAAAAACGTCAATCAGCATTTGACTCAATGATAAATTGTATTTGCTGACAAGGTCATTGTATCGACCATAGAACTTATGAAATGATGCGATGATATTAAACACTTACAGGACAGACTTCAATTTAAATACTGATACTGAAAATTCTTATTAGTTTGAGTATTTTAGTTGGATTAATTAATATAAATCAATGGGAGATATTTTAGCTATATAATAAAGGAGTTTTTGAATTCATTTTGGTAAATACTCGCAAACTCGTGCATTTGTACAGCCACAACTCGTGCCAATGTTCACCAATATAAGTTCAATAACCCTATAATATTTACCTGGAAGAACACGTGCAGGTGAAAATTACGTAGTAAATTTTTGTACATTTTTGATATCAGCCAATCATAGAGAATGGAATTATTCAATCATATAATGAAATTATTACATGTTGTGCTTTTCATTATATGTAACATGGATGTATGCTAAAGGACAAGATCAACGCATGTTTAGTGAACCAATAATTAAAATTCTACAAGTACAGAACTGAATTATTAATTTAAAAATGGGTTATTCTTCAACTACTGCATGACTGCAGACCTCCTTTCTCATCTGTTGTCTCAAAATTGAGTCGAATGACAAGAGTTTTGTATATTCAGTGCAAATATAACTGTTCGAAGTCTGCAACTTTCATAATGTGTGTGCGTGTTTGGGGGGAGGGGGAGGTGTCAAACACATAGGGCACTGCATTGCAGTTTATAACTGTAATAATATATCCTACATGTTTATTGTGTATGTGCACACATTCCTTTCACATTGATGTTAACAATAGTATTTATACATGTTAATACCTTGTATTATGCACATGCAAACCTGAATGTACAGAGAGGGGAGATGGTGCAGATCGACTCAGAACTCCATGATTTCCCTAAAAAAACATTATCATCTCGTAAAAGATAAAAAAAACAAGGCTTGTGTATCTTATTCTATCTCTATTCTCTTAGAAAGATTGTCTGATTGCTGTATTCTCCACTGCATTTCTCAGCCGCTTTAGCAACATTTTTAAAAATATAAACAACATTTGATGTCACCGTCTACAAGCGGTTTACTGAAGTCGAAAACAGCCAGAAAACATAATAAAAAGAGAATTATGTCATGAACATGCTGCTTCCATACAGTCAGGAGAAAGACAAAACAGTTTATTTATTAGATAAAGAAATGGACATTCGTCAGAAATCCTTGCGATTATCATTAAATAGATTTTTAGCTTTATTTCACTAGATAAATCTATCAGGGCGGAGCAAATGTCATTATGTCAATTCTCATTAAGACCTCAAAACGATGTTATCTTCATGTGTGGCCTTAACTGTACTGCGTTGACGCAATAGGCTTATTTCTAATATAAGCCTAAGCACATGTAATTCCTATGGTTAATAACAAAATGGATGTAGACAATATTCTCCGGTCCTTAGGAAAATACGGCAGATACCAAGTATTACAGATGACTTATAATCTGCTCTGTGTGCCAATCATGACATATTGTGTGGTTATTTCTGTATTTGTGGGTGAGTACTTATAATATGTTTTTGTAATTATTATGACGTATCCTGTTGTAAACGAGCTATTTGTGTGTGAGTGGTTCTATAATCTGTTTTGCTATCTGATATTGAAATAACCTTTTGTCATCAGTTGTATTCGTGGATGAAAACATATCACTGTGAACCGGTCGAGGTACTCTAAGTTGAGGCGCTTGCTTTGTTTTCGAGAGGCCCGGTTTGATTCTCATTTCAGGCGGTGCGTCAAACCTAAGACGTTAACACAGGGAATGAAATTTCTTTCCAAAGCGCCAAACGCTAGTTCTTACGGGTTAGTCCTTAAATACCGAGATCCCATGTTTCTGAAGGCGTTGACACGATAAAAAATATTCTCAGTATTCAAAGGCCCTGAGTGTCGAGTAAAGGTATAAAACTGAAGCCCTTCGCCGGTATATTGTGACGTCTCTTCATGAGTGAAAAAATCCTTACAAAGATCTATTCCCCACGATAAATTGAAGACCAGGCTTTTTAACATCATAGACAGCTGCTGTTTATATAAAAATGGAACTCGTAAATATACGTACCTTCTCATTGGTCATTTGCAAAAATATTTTGTTAAAAAAAAACCTTCTGATTATACACACAAGTACTCTGAAGTTGATATTAAAAAGATGCTTGAGTTCCTGATTGACAATATCTATGTACTTTTTGGAGATCAGGTCTTCCAACAATCTGTTGGAATTCCCATGGGCAGCAACTGCGCCCCTTTATCAGCAGACCTATTCTTGTATTCATCTGATGCAGAATATATTCAAAAACTTCATTATGAAAAGAAGAAAACACTTGCTGTGACCTTCTACTCGACATTTCGACATATTGACGACGTATTAACAATTAACAATAGTTACTTTCATTCATATGTCGACTCGATATGTCCTAGTGGGCCTGAAATAAAAGGTGCCACAGGGTCTAACACATCTGTTTCATGTTTGGATAATTTACTAGAATAAGATTTTAATGGAAACCTAACAATATGATAAAAGTGATGACTTCATTTTTTCAATCGTCAACTTCCCTTACTGAGGTAAAAATATACCCTTATCAAAAGTATATGGGGATTATGTCTCTTCGTATGAACAGTTTCTAAAACGAGGCAAGCTACTTACAAACAAGTTGATGAAACAAAGATATCAACAGGTTCTTTTGAATTCATTTCAATAGTTTTATGGTTGATACAATGACCTTGTCAGAAAAAACAACCTTTTACTTAGTTAAATGCTGACTGACGTTTTTCATACTAATTATTAGGCCATTATTTGCACACTGAATTGTCTACGTTTTTTTTTTTTCGTTTTTCCCGATCATGATAAAGAGCACACGGCGTGCACCTGACCTCCCCTCTCACGTTTTTAGAGGTCCGTGTTTACTCTGCTCCAAATCTATATTATTCAAATGGACTTTTGAGATTGATTACTATTTCCTATCTTCATATTTTATCTATGAAGTCTTTGGAGAACAGGTGTTCCAATACTTAGTTGGAATATCAATGAGCACTAATTGTGATCTCTAATAAACTTGTATCCGTTTTCTATTCCTATGAAGCTGAATTTATTAAAAAAATTCTATACAAGAATAAAATGTTTGCTGTAGCATAAAACTCATCTATCATATATATTGAGGACGTTTTATCACTTAACAATAGTTATTTTCATTCATTCATACATACATCAAATCGATATATCCCAGTGAGATATATTGAGACATTTTATCATTTAACAATAGTTACTTTCATTCATACATATATCAACTCGATATATCCCAGTGAACTTGAATTAAAGACACTATAGGGAATGTTACATCCTTTCACTTATTTCCATTGTCACCCCCCCCCCTTTATTTATGTAGTAATCTTCCAACATCATCTGCATATGGTGTAAATGTTTCTCAACTTATTTGATACAGAAGAACATGCTCTGAGCACGATCAATTTTTAAGCGACACAAACTAATGACATATACGTTGATGTAACAAGGATTTCAACTGTGCAACAACCTCGTTTGAATTCAGCTTTCTGCAAATCGTATGGTCGTCATGATGTTGTAATAAAATACACTGTTGTTGGGTCGTATTATTCTATTTTTTTTCATATTATTTGTTAGGTCGTTGCTTTTAATATGTATTTCACTGTGGTTTACTCTGACCGACTACCTGATCAATATATATGCCCCATGGCGGGTGTGACCGGTTGACTGGGGATGTTTACTCCTATTAAGCACCTGATTCCACCTCTGGTGTTTTCCAGAGGATCCCTGCCCTTGCCCTGTTCACGAGTCGCTTTTTCTACTGCATTTATGATATTGATCACAGTTTGTTATCTTCACTTTTAATGTACTTAAAAAAAAAACAGATCCCTCCCTCTCTTTCTCTCTCTCATGGATGAAAAGTTTATATGACTTAAATTTGAAAAAAAAAAATTACCCGTTACTGGAAGATTCTGGATTCGTGAACTAAACTTTGTCAATTTTTTTTTTATATATCCATTATAGATTCGTAAGTCCTGATAAAGAACACCTGTCTCAACATAATGATAAATCAATGTTCTTTTACTAAATGTAGATTTTAATGAGATATTAACAACTAAACGGAAAAAAATATCAGTTTTTCCGTATGGAATTATAAAATCAAAAAAATTAATATGCACGCTCTTAATTACGATGGTTTATATATCAGGTGAGGCCCGGAAGTGAATTAAAAGATTTAAGATTTCAAAACTCATTCTAAATTCATATTTCGATCTAAAGTTAAATTGATATTAATTCTCTTTTGAATGGGTTTATGATTTGTAAAGTTTTAAAACATCCTTTGCTTGAAAATAGCAAACTCGGCAAATTAAACATACGAGGGTTGTCCCAAAATTCCGTAGACTGACCTCATATCTTTTAAAGAAATCAATGTATCTTAATAAGATTTTCTGGGTGGATAAAGTGTGTTCTTGGCAGATAAATTACGAAGTTTTATTATGTTATTTTGAAAACAATTCGAGCAATAAAATTTGAAGTTATATCGTTCTCTAACACCCGGAGCAATCTGCGAAGTCAAAGAAGACAAATGTCAACGGTTCAGATTTTTGAAGAAAATACATGTATACTAATTACCAGAATCTAATTCTTTAATTAATCAAAAAGATTATAGATGTAAATGGAAATATCTTAATCATTATGATATGAATAAACATTAAAATATATGAACAAAGTATGCGCATGTACATGTATGAAATCTACGGGTTTATCGTCTGCCTTCTGTTATGGAGTTGCACAGTGTCACTCTTGCCCGATTCTTAGGCCTGTCTTTTTTTAGTTTCCGTTCTTCACAAAACTAGAGAAACCATTTCAGTCATTTTAATATACTAAGGACCAGAAAACATTTCCTTGTGTATCAAACATTTATGACTTATCCATTTCTGTAGGAGTGAATTCGGGATCAAAACATTTGATCACAGTCAAGTGCGCCGCCTGTGTCAACGCAGCAGCCATTTTTCAACAAGTCGGGTTTTAAACCGCTGTATATCAAACGTTATAAAATTCATAATCGTTAAAGTATATACACCAAAATTTGAAGAAAGATAGTAATAATACAATACTTAGAATTTTTATTTCTATTCCCAAGATACTGAGTAGTATATACTTTTCCGTAGGATTTTAAATATAATATACCGATTTTTAATTGCAATTTCTGGGTACTGTACCGCCTTCTTAAACCAGAAAGTGAACTATTTTATTTAAATAGGCTAAATCTGTGTATTTACTCAATGTTTGCCCATAAATTAATTAGTTATTGTTTGTTTAATTTATGTACGAATTTTCATTAATATATGACATCGGGTTCCTACAAAACAACGCTTGTCTACGGAATTTTGGGACAACCCTCGTATATAGAGAATTTATGTTTATTCTTTTAATTTGCATATCGGACTTAGTTGGGCTGTAATCGTGGAAGATTCACATAAAGGTTTAGACTGAGAAAATACATTGAAACTATTTCGGATAAATTTTTACCGCTGTTGGATAGATTTTTCTAGCTTTTGTGGTTCTTTACTAAAGTGAAGTAAATTGAGATCGCTTTTGGTAGACAATTCAAAGACAGTACGTTCTTTAAAAGAAGGAAAGGGTATATAATTGGGACGTTTGTAATTTCGTCTTACGCTTAATAGCTGCAGAAGAAAACTTAGTTTTTAAAATCATTTTGTGAATTATTAGGACCTCCTCTTTAGTTTATAAAGGACGATTTCGTTCATCTTCAGTACCTAATTACAGTTTTAAAATTTTGTATCATGAGTTGCCAACTGTTTATCACACTAAAATCTACCCTTATAAATCTAACCAGAGCTTGCACAAAAATAAAATAAACTGGAATCTCCTTTTGATATCAAAACTGAAAAAAAAAAAAAACAAAATCAAAACAAAAAACAAAACAAAAAACAAAACAAAGCAAAAACAAAAAAAAAGGAAAATCTTTATGCAGTATCATGAACAATAGAGGGGTTTCGCAAACCAAAGTGTACGTGTACTTGTACGTGTAGGAGGGGCAATATGTGCATTACGTCATCACTTTTGCTGATGATGAGATTTTACATGTATCTATGTATGTGTAGATCGCCGAGTTCCCGTAAGAGCAAACTTGTAGCGTATATTTTCTTATTTGCTGTTTATTTCAATCAAAGTTTGTGTTTTTCTAAAACACGAAGATAAAGTGCAAATACGTATACAAGAAACTTTATGTTTTTATGGTAAAAAAATATTTTTTAAGCGTTAAATACACTGATAATGACTTTCATAACATTATTTTACGAAACAAGGGCATAAGTATTCTTTTTGAAATTTCTTTTTATAAACATTTGCATATAATCAATTAAATTAGTGATGAACATTATAAATTTAAGACATTTAACTAACAAAAAAATTGAAATTATCCAAAGATAAAGACTTTTGTATTTAAAGCATTTACAAGTACACGTACAAGTTATGTTGCTGAACGAGAAAAGTGATGTAAACTCAAACTTGTATTTCTAACTTGTACTGTACTCGCCGTACATGTTCACGTACACGTTGGTGTGAGAAACCTCTCTATTAATGAGACATAAGTAACGTGTAATCAGTCTCATAAATAAAATGTTCACCACTTTTCTGTAAGATGTTATAAATTTAAAGGTGGCAAAATCAGATATATATGGCGACCACTGGCACCTGTTGATTTTCTTTTCAGTCTCTTTCTCTGTTGTCGTATTACATAAAAAAATCGTGAATAACAGAATAATTGATCTATATGAATATAACGGTTGTACGTCGTTTTCCTTGAAAATTAAAAAAAAATGATCTAAGAAAGCGAGGTTTATAAAAAAAGGAACAAAAGGGCCAGCAAGTTACAGCAAGATTTCGAGCGGTTAGGAATTTCTGTTATCAATGTCTTTGTGTCTACAATTCTAAATTTAAGTTTGTTAAAGCTGCATGCATTACATTGGCAGAAAATTAGAATAAAACATTTCAATACGCCCTTTTTTGAAGAACAACCATTAAATTTAGAACAACTTCTTTCGGAATAGGTATCAGTAACGAGGCAGTTTAATTAAGTGAACAAACCACATAAGCATAATTTTCTTAATATTGATTTGTTTTTATTTTCCAGGTAAGATGCCGGAATTCAAGTGCAAGATCTCAGGCGAAAACGTGACAACGTATATCAATGAGACTTATGCGTCATATAACGTCACAATACATACGCGTCAATGTGACTTTATCCTCGAAACAAATACGTCCGGTATTCTTACCCAGGAAACTATTCCATGCCAAGATGGATATGAATATTTTGGACAGGAAACTATTGCATCAGAGGTAAAAACATATACGGTAAAGAGACCATAGGAAAGGGTATGAAATTCCATAAAGTTGTTAGCTTTATATATAAGTATATTTACATGTAAGCCCCCATTCCAAACTAACATGAAAACTTTAATACTTACAATGAATATTTTTAACATAAAATGTTCGATAGATAAGGATAAAAACACAATGACAAGGTGAAGACAAGGAACAGTGATCGATCACATGAAAATCTACAAACAAAAAAAAGTTTGTGAATAGGGCATTAATACAGACCCCTGAAAATTTCAAGAGGTGGACATTTAAATTGAAACAACTTAAAACTTTTACAAAATATTTCAGTGGAATCTTGTGTGTGGAGCCGAAAGTCTCAGCAGTATGTCCACTACCGTGGCGGTCATTGGTCAGATGATAGGGGCTGCAGTGTTTCCTACTTTGGCAGATAAATATGGTCGTCTGCTGATTTTTTACACGAATTTTCTTGCATTAGTATTGTGTTACGTCATAGCTGCTGTTGTACCATGGTTCAGTGCTTACGTCATCCTTAGACTTCTTATCGGAGTCTTTGCTGAGGTACGTCTTAATAAATTAAATGCATGCCTGTAACAGAAAGTGCAAATTCACAACGAATAAATCGTCTTAGACAAGTTGGAAAACATTCTGTAAAATTATTGTGTTTTGGGAAAATAAATTAATTTTGGTGAATAATTTAAAGGATGATAGCTTGCCTCGTTTTAAAAATTATATGTATGCTTGTAACAGAAACTGAAACATTCTTAAAAATTATTGTTTGTGTTTCGGGAAAAAGTAAATTTTAGTGAATAATTATCAAGGATAAGAAAAAGACGGACATTCAATGCACTTCGCTTTTTACAGCAATCAAAACAATGTAATCAGTTTTTGAAATGTTACAATGTATGTAACAGAACGAGCACAAAAACAATAATAAATTTACATCATTTTGATCATGCAACAATGATGTATTTCTTTTCAATAAAAAGTTAATATGTCTTAAATTGCACAAATTAAAAAAAAAGATTAACGATAAAAGCATGGAGAACGCCTTTTAATTTTGGATTAAATAAATGAAATGTGAATAAAAAGAAAGGTGATCATTTTGAAAATTCCATTTAAACAATTGAACGTATGAGCAGAGAAAATACCCAGCTCTTAAATCAAAGTACTGAAAGTACTGGAAAGCGCTAAGCAATGTTTGCAATTTGACATTCATTAGAATTATTTTGAATTCAAATTGCCTATTGTATTGGAATAAGTAATATGTTGACAGTGCAAACGCTAGGGGCGAGCACAGTTGTTTGATACACATTTTCTTCAAAATAAAACTTGTATCCGCCTCTTCAAACCGCACGAGGATATGTTTGAAGGTTCGAGACTGTGACATCACACGATGTCGTATATACGTTGCTATTTAAGGTACATGTATGTTACTCGTTGGCTTTTAAGAAAAGTTGAGTAATAACCTCTCACTTCAAAAGTATTTATTACAATTTTATTTTTTATAACATATTTGAATTAAACAATGCAAATTATAAAACATCCAATTTAAAAACTGGTCATAAGATCATAAAGAAACAAGATTTATGGGAGACTGTTTCTTTTGGTAGAAAGATATTTAATAGAAAGTTTTACAAATCTACACATTCGTTAAATTTAATATCTTGGAATTTTAGTCGTACATATTTTTATTCAAAGCATTTTTCCACGTTACATGTATCATACGCTAGGAATTTGAAATACATTTGTCAATTAATATTTCTGGAACAAATTTTACATATTCACTCAATAGACTGCCAAAAAATGAATAAATGTTTAAAAAGTCAAGATAAAATTCATACTGTTTTTTGCCTGAGCGTCAAATGTACTATCTCTCAGCAAATTCGATTAAAGCAACTCACTTTTTTTGTATCTTTGAAGTTTACTTTGTTTATGGCAAGAAAGAGGAATACCTCAGTTATGGAAAAAACTGTCTATTTGTGTTAAATTGCATTTCCGGAAGTTATTATGGAAAAAAAAGTTCATTTGGAGCAATGTGCACAGTCCGAATTTTACTCTTCGCCCCAGCGTTCCTTTAAGTTATGAGCTGCACTCGCTTCTAGTTTTCTTTTTCTTTAACATCATTAAATCTTTGCAGATAGAACAAGTTTGGCCTCTCTAGGCTTTTCGTGTAATTCCGAGGCGCCTCTACATTTTACATTAATTAGAAATCGTCACATCCGTTGCTTTCAGTTTCAGTTTATTAGCCTGAGACACTACAGCACTGGTGATAATTTTTAATAATAAATTCATTACGTGTTCACTAGTGTTTCAAAATGAAGATTTGCTGTAGGTGACAGGCGCTTGGTTTCAGGTGCATGGATGGTGTATTTTGTGTATTAGGTGTTTTTCTAGGTGTGTCTGAATACACTCATTAAAATAAAAATAAAAAATCGCTGAAATTAGCACGTTTTAAAAATATCATATCTACTGTATATAAAAAAGAACCAAGGTACGACAGTTGATTTCAGGGGGTGTCTCGGTTCACACTTGCTTTTCATCAATATCTACACTTTTCGTACCGGTGTCGGATGAGATCTAGCTTCAAAAATGATTGAATAACGCCCTTCAATCGTGTGCCGATTTGAACTGAAACCAAGCGCCTATGATTGGTGACTGTGATTTTATTTTTAGAAAATGCAGATTTTTTATTGCATATCATAATTTTATATCGATAAAAAAAATCCTTATTGATAACATTTTTTAAAGTTATGAATAAAAGATCTTTAAAATAACGAAATATTCTGTTTGAATTGTTTTTTTTTTAATTATATCTCATTTTTTTCTCATACTCAAAAGCGATTAATAAACTTACGATTTTATAGAAAGGATTTTACAAGAAATAAATTCAATGGAGTGTGTAAGATATTTACACAATCTCCGGTATTAATTAATGACAAATAAGAATAGACTATTACATTTTGTTTTGAACATGCCATGGCTGTGCATTACACATTTTTTTACACTTCACATTCATCGCGCTGTGCAACATATCGGCATCAAAATGTGACAAAATCTAGGAAATTAGCACCTGAAGAGTTTACATAGTTTTGTTAGAGATAATAGGTATATATACAATGAGTATAAGGATATTATATTTGTCGTCTTCGTTTGATGAAAACACATTCAGTGCTATCCTTTTATCTTTGATTTTCATGTATATGATTTATAATGTATTTGCGTCGAAAATTATTCTTTTCTGTTGATCTCACAATGTGTAGCTGATTTGTAAATATCACTTTTTTTTTAAATAAAAATTTATACTTTTTTTCTTCGGAATAAAAATATGTCATTAAAAACTCGAGTATTTTTTTTTACTCTTTATTGTTAAAATACATTAAAATGCATCGGTAATTTTTACGGATATTTGGTGCTTTAGCTTAATCTTAACTTGTTTAGGTATGATATATTATTATAACTACCACTCAAAACATGCTGATAGGAATAAAATATCCACAGCACTGGTGTGCTCCTTGAAAAGAAATCCTGAAAATAATTGGTCCGTATTTTTTTCTGCTAGTTCCATGATAAATAATTCAACAACCCCCAAATAGAGAAGATAGTATATTAATTTCAAGTATGAACAAATATGAAACTCCATTTTCTAATCTTCATGAAGGTATACAACATTGTTTAATTCTGTTTTTATTTAGTGCTCATAAAGTTGCTAAGCAGATAAAATCGGCAACTCAAACATACCTGTCCCGTTACTGAGAACGTTTAAGTAAGGTTTTGTATTTACCCCATATCTTGCGCACAGCACACAAAAAGCACCATATTTGTTATCAATATTTCCGAGAAATTAGTTTTCCTCTCTAAGTGGATTCAGCCACTATGTGTCCTACAGTGTACATGTACGTACAGCGCAAACTGCCTTTCCTTGCGAAACAAGTTTAGATTACACGAATATAGACAGTCCATGAATGCATTCAAGTCTGTTACTAATTTATACTGAGATGCGAAAATCAACATCATTGATAGCTCTCTGCATGGTGCAAGGGTGATAATAGAAAGACTTGTTTTTAGTTACGTTGTCTGAAATAAGGGTCTAGAAGAAAAAGTATTAGTTAATATGGATATAAATCATATAGAACATAAGTACATTGTATATCAATTTTATGCGAAATTTTCTACTAAATAAATAAATAACTTTGTTCCAGTTAGAGTTTTAAATAGTTATTAAAATCCCATCTGAGTTTTAAACAATCACTATATTACAGGACATATAATAAACCCTTTTTAAGGTATTTGCACCATTGATGGTTTTTAACTTCTTCGATATTATCACTGCTGCAATTATTAGCTACATGTTACACAGTGCCGACATGATTTTTTGATGAACTACAGTGTATATAGAGATAAGAAAGTTCTGCCTTTATCCACTAACAGTGGATATTCGTACAATGTATACTATCTACATTACTAATTGAAACCTATGATTAGAACTGCACGTAACGCAGTATTACACTAAAATGGCCGAAAGAGAGTTGGAGATTTCCAGTTGCATATTTTTAGAAGACTCAGTGGAGTTATCTAACTTGCTTAGTGGCGCTGGATCGCGAACGGAAGTAGTATTAAGATGCCAGTAAGCGCTTTGCGCTGCGCTTAGCGCTTAAAAAGAGTAAAAAGCTAAACAATTTGTATGAAAGCATCAGTCAACATTTGACTTAAAAACAGATTGTATTTGCAGTCATTGTATCGACTACAGAATCTGCGAAATGTTGACTCTAAACAAGATTGTTGATATCCTTGTTTCATTACCTTATTTTTCAATAGGCTGTCTCGTTCCTACATAGCACATTCTCTTGAGTATTGAATAAACTGAAATAAACTACAGATGTTGGTAATAATGATTTATTTCTACATAAGTATGGGAAATTGACGATAGAAATTTTGAAGTCATCACGTTTATCATAAAGTTTGTTGTCAGTCTCCCTTCAATGTCTTTTGTCAAATTCTGTGGTTTATTTTATTTGGAATTCAAATGAATATATTTAATCAACGTAGGAATGAAAATGAAAAGCATTGATTGATAAAAAATATAAACAAATATGAAACAGATCTGGCATAAATAAACTAAGCTTTTTATTGTTTTAATGTCAAAGTCCAGACGCGTAGCCAGAATGAAAGTGAAGTGTACGCAGAGAACAATAGGGGTGTGGGGGCCGCCGTGAGACCCCCAGTGGGTCCATGGCAAAGCCCTGGTGGGGACCCAGGGGGCGAAGCCTCCGGAAGCTTCTGGGTTTTACCAAATATTTCAATCATTTTCTTGCAGAAACTATCACGCTATTTCGCTTTTCTTTACTAGAAATAAAAGACTATAATAATATTGATTTTAACGCAAAAATAATAATTCCTTGGAAACTTATTTTACATGTACGTGTACTTGCGGCTGAATATTTAACCGATATATTGGTATCATCTGCACTTTTTAATAATATAATGTTCAGCAACAAGTATAATAAACGTTAGTAGAAAAATAATATCGTATTTTAAATCATATACTGTGGGATCAAGCC